CCAAGGTACGGGATAGTTCTAGAAACGTGGCGTCACACTAGTCATGTGACTCGCTGACGCAACAATACTGTTATAATTGACTGTAACGTTATTCTGATACTAAGACACAATGTCTGATACAGGACAGTTATAAGGTCTTTGTCATGGTAACTAATGTCATGAGTAAATCAGTTTGTAGATAAGTTTATCAGATGTTTTGTCAGTAGCCAATAATCATTATTCATTGAACTGCGTGGTAAGATATAATATGAAATGAAGACTTACAAGGTAGATGCTGAAGAATGTGGAGTTTCAAATAAGATTTTGCGTGATCTTCTGTCAGAGCTTAAGAGTGTTATTAGCCATAATCAGGGGTTTTTGTTCCAAGGACTAATGCTAAGTGGCACTGAGGTATTTGTCAACTTAGCTATGGTCATGTATAAATTAGACTGCCACTATTCCCCCCACACATATGATTTGCATATTGTTACGACAGTGGAAGTCACATGATGCTGGGAGCATGCGTGGTGAATTTCTCGAATAATCGGGGAACTCTGCGAATGTTGGAGCCGCCTCTTTGTTAGTATATAAGCCTGGCAGAGAAAAGCCAGCGGGAATGTTAATGAACGAAAGCAAACAGTAGTTACGGTGAGTTTCGGGTAACTTACGATTCTGTTTCGAGCTAGTGTGTGTTTTGCACTTGTAGAGCGAAGTTATCAAAATTGTGAATCACTGTGATTTATAGCATGTGTTATAAACGTTGTTAAGTTTGAAGTGACGAGAAACGTACTGACTGTGGAATTACTGTATACAAATAGTTTGTATCGAGAAAGAATAAACTGGTTTAATCAAGAAAGGTATTGTATCGCTGAAGTTCCTCGGAAGGAATTTCTACTGGAAATTAACAAACAAGCAGATACGTAAAAAAATTGGTGTCAGAGAGTGGGATGGATAAGAGAAAAAAAAAAGATGGAAACGAGAAGTGACAAATCAAACTACAGCTTAGCAAATTTGGTGGCAGCAATACAAAAACAGCAAAAGAAACAAGAAGAACGAGAAAAGAAATAAGAGGAGAGATTACAGCAGTTGTTGGAGGAAGAAGAAAAGAAATAAGGGATGATGGTAGCATGGTATAAGTGGTGTGTATAATGGATGATGGTAGCATGGTATAAGTGGTGGTATAGGGATGATGGTAGCATGGTATAAGTGGTGTGTATAATGGATGATGGTAACATGGTATAAGTGATGGTATAGGGATGATGGGAGCATGGTATAAGTGGTGTGTATAATGGATGATGGTAGCATGGTATAAGTGGTGGTATAGGGATGATGGGAGCATGGTATAAGTGGTGGTATAAGGGATGATTGGAGTAAGGTATAAGTGGTGGTATAGGGATGATTGGAGTAAGGTATAAGTGATGGTATAAGGGATGATTGGAGTAAGGTATAAGTGGTGGTATAGGGATGATGGTAAGAAGGTATAAATGGTGGTATAAGGGATGATAAGAGCATGGTATAATTGGTGGTTTAAGGGATGATAAGAGCATGGTATAAGTGGTGGTATAAGGGATAATAAGAGCATGGTATAAGTGGTGGTATAAGGGATGATGGTAAGAAGGTATAAATGGTGGTATAAGGGATGATGAGAGCATGGTATAAGTGGTGGTATAAGGGATGATGGGAGGTAAGAAAGTGGTAGTATAAGGGATGATTGGAGTAAGGTATAAGTGGTGGTATAAGGGATGATGAGAGCATGGTATAAGTGGTGGTATAAGGGATGATGGGGGGTAAGAAAGTGGTGTTATAAGGGATGATGGGAGGTAAGAAAGTGGTGGTATAAGGGATGATTGGAGTAAGGTATAAGTGGGGATCCAAGGAATGAAGCAAGCTTGATATGTTACTGTAAATCATTTTGTGCAGAAATCTAAAAAAAATTTTTGGGTTGAAATTTTATGATAAAGTATATATTAGGATTTTGTTTGGGTCATAATTTTATGATAAAGTATATATTAAGATTTTTTTTGGGTCATAATTTTATGATAAAGTATATATTAGGATTTTGTTTGGGTCATAATTTTATGATAAAGTATATCTTAGGATTTTGTTTGGGTCATAATTTTATGATAAAGTATATATTAAGATTTTGTTTGGGTCATAATTTTATGATAAAGTATACATTAGGATTTTGTTTGGGTCATAATTTTATGATAAAGTATATATTAGGATTTTGTTTGGGTTGTAATTTTATGATAAAGCATATATTAGAATTTTGTTTGGGTTGTAATTTTATGATAGAATATATATTAGGATTTTTTGTTGTAATTAAATTGTGTTTAAATTTCAAATTTTTTAAGGAAAAGTAAGATGATAGCTTTCTAGCATTACCTCTACATGTAAGAAATAAACAATATAAAAACAGTTACTGAAGATAAGTATTCTCTTGTGTTAGAAAGAAGAGAAAGACAATTTTATGAGAATCCAAAAAACAGCTTTTGCTAGATTTCACAAAGAACCAAAGCAGCAAATGTCTCTAGACTATGAACAAATGCTTCGACAGAAGAAACTGGATGAAAATAAATACAGGTAAGTTTCTCTGCTAATTTCATTAGCAGTTTTTTTTTGTGTGTATGAAGATAAATCGGAATGAAAGAAAGCACAAGTAAATGATTTCAAATTTTATTGTAAGGAAACTCGCATGAAGGATAATAGTTGTTTGTGATGATTTAACTGAATACCATTTTATACTGAATACAAATCAGGTATAAGTATAATTAAAATGATATGACCTAACAGATACTTCTACGGAACAAATAGCCATACTAAATTCATAGTAATTAATTGAAAATGACTACAGTATACCATGCCTTCAGGGTTAAAAACATGCAATTTTACAAAATTGTACACACAAGTGTACAAAAGTAAAAATTTTGTTTCCTTAGTTATGAAGTACTTATGTAGTAATTTGCTGTTCCTTCTCTAATTTTTAACACAACTATAAACATAACACTATATTTACCTGATCAATATACAACACAACTAGAAGTGTATCACTATTTCTGTCTGTTTAAACAGCTTGATATAAGTCATACTTAGAAGTGTACTGCTGTTTCTGTCTGTTTAAACAGCTTGATATAAGTCATACTTAGAAGTGTATCACTATTTCTGTCTGTTTAAACAGCTTGATATAAGTCATACTTAGAAGTGTACCGCTGTTTCTGTCTGTTTAAACAGATTGATATAAGTCATACCTAGAAGTGTATCACTATTTCTGTCTGTTTAAACAGCTTGATATAAGTCATACCTAGAAGTGTATCACTGTTTCTGTCTGTTTAAACAGCTTGATATAAGTCATACTTAGAAGTGTACCACTGTTTCTGTCTGTTTAAACAGCTTGATATAAGTCATACCTAGAAGTGTATCACTATTTCTGTCTGTTTAAACAGCTTGATATAAGTCATACCTAGAAGTGTACTGCTGTTTCTGTCTGTTTAAACAGCTTGATATAAGTCATACCTAGAAGTGTATCACTATTTCTGTCTGTTTAAACAGCTTGATATAAGTCATACCTAGAAGTGTATCACTATTTCTGTCTGTTTAAACAGCTTGATATAAGTCATACCTAGAAGTGTATCACTATTTCTGTCTGTTTAAACAGCTTGATATAAGTCATACCTAGAAGTGTACCACTGTTTCTTTCTGTTTAAACAACTTGATATAAATCATACCTAGAAGCAGGGATTTTTTTTAGATGGTACACACCAGTATGGTGTACTGGCACAATTTTTCATATTGCAAAATGGAAAGAAAGGTGACAAAATTTGAGTGAGTAATGTAAATGAATGTGTGAATTTTCTCCTTTGAACAAATCTTTTGTTCACAAGAAGACCAAAGAGACACCAGACTAGAAGTGTAACAAATGACATAGTTTAAAGGAGTGTGAAAACATACTGTATGTTTGATCGTGTATGTGTGATCAGCAGTGCAGCATGAGGTGTGAAGCATCAGGTAGGATGAGCATACCATTAATAGGGAACATCAATGGTCACCTGGTTTTAACACCTACAACACTTGGCCGCTATCATTCAGTATACGTTAGTGGCCTCACTTTGATCAACAGGTTTCAATTGGGCAGTGGCAGGTGAGAGTCGGCCTAGGTGGATGCAATACTGAGTTCAAAGAGACTGCTTGGGACTGGGAAACAGGTGACCACAAGCCAAGTTGACTGGTATGCAGATCTGGACTGTACATTTTTTCAAATAAAATAAGTCACAAGGTGGACGAAGACGAATGATGTCATTACTCGTACAATACCTTGTCAGCCAAGATAAAAATATGCGTGTGAGTCTAGGGAATAAGTCATTTTGGTCTGACATGCTTAGTCGAGGTGGTGATGCCAATTTGAGCAGGTGTGTGTTTCTCTTCTACTGTGCTTTGATTTTATTGTAACCGGGAGAGTATATCATTTTTATTGCATCTTGAGAAAACACCCAAACATAAAAATGAAACGAATTAAAGTGAGGAAGTTACTCAAGAACAGGAATTAACAGTGAAAGTGACAGTTTCTGTTCCTGGTCCACCTGGTGTCCATGAGCTATCTGACAACGACTGGCCTAGCTGCTGGACTACTGATCAAAAAAATGATTTTTGCAGGAAGTACAATTGGCTGAATATTAGAAATAAGAAACTTGGCTGTACACCTTGCCATAAACTTGGAACTTTTGCAGTGGAAACGAAGGCAGGAATGAAAGTTTCTAAAGAATGAGCCAACAATGAAAGTCGACAGCAACAGCTTCTGTCTTTGCGGAATAAACTTTTCAATCACAAGGAAACCGCGGGACATAAAGCTGCAGTAAAATTGTTGGCTAAAGTTGAGAAAGAGACCATTGAAAATGTGTGTGAAAGCATTATCTCATGAAATATTAATTACCACAATAATTTTTCACACAGCATATAAGGTAGTGAAAGAAAACCAATCATTTCATAATTTGGAATCTGAAATAGATTTACATGAAATAAATGTAATTGACATGGGCTGTATTCTTCACTCAATGAATGCATGTATTAACATCATGAATCACATTAGTGATGAAATGAAAAAAATACTAATTAGTATAGTTACTAAATCGAAAAGTAGAATATCATTGATAATCGACAAGTCAACTTCTTTGAGTAAAATAAATCTACCTTAATAGTGTACATTCGAATCTGTATTCCAGATAATGGAACGAACTCACCGGTAAATTTTTTTTTGACCTGAAAATGTTACTGCAAATGGAATTTTTGATTTTTTATTTGATTGTCTTCAGTCTTACAGAATGAATGAAGACTACCTGAAAAGTTACTTACTTTGTGTGATGGTGCAGCCGTGATGTTGGGAAGTAAAAGTGGAGTTAAGAAACTGATGAAAGACAAATTTTCTTTCTGTAAATGTGTGGCACTGTGCTAATCACAGATTAGAACTGTCGATCGGTGACACAGTAAAATCAGTCTTAGGGATCAACAGATTTAAAGTGTTTATTGATAAACTTTATGTCTTGTATCATGCATTGCCTAAAAATAGCAGAGAACTGAAAGTGTGCATGAACTTGCTGGAGATTCAACTTTTAAAAATGGGTGGCATCTAGTTTTCAGTCAGTTTCAGCTGTTTGGGAAAACTATGAAGTTTTTGGGGCAACATTTCGAAGAAGCGAAGCATGATCCAACAAGAGACAAAAAAGAGCAATGTGCATATGAGGGCTTACAGTGAAAAACTTACAAGCACAGAATTTCTGTTGGATAGCCAAGAATTATCCGAATTGAGTTTGGACTTACAAGAGCGTGATATAGACTTGTACAAGAAGGATCAAAGATAAAAGCTCTTGTACAGATTTTTTAAGAAAGACAAATGATTCCAGGTCCATATTATAAAAATGCTGCCAAAAATCTTCACTTCTGGGGAGTTTCACCTCACAGCAAAGGTTGCAAAAAGGATCCTCCGATTAATCTCGAAGCTTTTTACAGAACCTTGAAAAAATCGATTGAAAATAGGTGGCTTGATAGTGAAGATGGTGATATAGCACAGTGTGCACGGTAAAAAACGTTGGCCTTAAAATGTTAATGCTCATTTAACATTCGGTGAGATGGAGGTCAGAAAATTATCAATAAGACTTCAGCTAAATGAAAGAGATATGATTCGTGGATTTTGTCAGTATCTGATTGAAAAGATGGTTCTCAAAATATTGCAGCATTTGAAACACGCTCCGAGTACTATTCCTATTTCATCCATTGAATGTGATGAGGGTTTTCACAGATGAATTTCATTGTCACCCCAACCAGAGCTGCAATGATGACGAAAACCTTTTTTTGGCACTTTTGTTTATTAAACATGTTGAACCGCCCCTTCCATGCTTTGACCCAAAAAAAGTATATAGTCATGGTTGCTTTGAAAACATCACTCAGCAGTAGACACCAAAATCAAGAAACAAAGTTGGGATATTTAATCAGATAAGAACATGATGAAAATTTTTAATTTTCTATAAAAAGTTAATTCAGTATCTTTTCATCTCTTAATTTCTTATATATATATATGAATATAGACACAATTTTGTTTTTCACAAAAAAGCACTGCCTAGAAGTGTACCACTGTTTCTTTCTGTTTAAACAGCTTGATAGAAGTGTACCACTGTTTTTGTCTGTTCAAACAGCTTGATATAAATCATGAATAGAAGTGTACCACTTGTTTTTGTCTGTTTAAACAGCTTGATATAAATCATGAATAGAAGTGTACCACTGTTTTTGTCTGTTTAAACAGCTTGATATAAATCATACCTAGAAGTGCACCACTGTTTTTGTCTGTTTAAACAGCTTGATATAAATCATACCTAGAAGTGTACCACTGTTTCTTTATATTTTATCCTACTGCTATGGGTAGGTCAAAGTGCACATCTCATGACGTTTTTACAGGGGTACATTTAAAATTTAATAAAACTACTTTATTATCAAAATATACAAATAAATTTGGCAACAAAACATACTTAATAAATGATATTTTAATGTTATATAAGTTTTTTTTTCAAAAGGAAATATTTAGATATATATAATTATATAGCCTTCAATCTTCTTTGTTTATGGAGAAATAGACTAGAAAATGACACCCATTTGTCACACCCACCTATCACATCCTCTCTTTCACAAATTTCCAAAAAAGTGTATCTGATCTTTGCTATATTACAACATTTATAGCCAGTAGAAAGCTAAACTTTTAATTTACCAAAGGACATATAATGCTACTTTATTCTCAACAGAGATTTTCAGTTATTTCACCTACAGTTTGAGAATTTCTATCACAGAGTTCAGATTGAATAATTAGGGTAATTATTTTAATGGACTTATGTCTTAATTAGAAAGTCAGTTAAGTTATAATAAGAAGGTTCCTAAGTGCATATTTGAAATAAATAAAATTTATTTTATGTACTAGTACAATCATTACAAAAAAGTACGCTTAAGTTTCATTGTCAGGCCAACAGCAAAACACAATAGACCAAGCTTAAGTACTAAATATTTCATTTTTCATAGATATCTTTATTTATTGTTGTAAAAGTAAC